TTTCACACTGCATGACTTCACAATAGGAAGAATCGCCGACAGCTCTGTCTGGTCCGCAAACTACGTTTCACAACAAAACACACGCGAGAAGTGATAAGGATATAATGCGAGAAACCGCGTGTGTCAGACCGGAGTTCTCGAGCGAGACTGGAATTATAAAAAAAAAAATATATATATATATACAGTATATAGCCCGCAAATTGTCTGTGAGCTGATTTCCAGCTACAAGGAGAAAAAGAGAAACAGATGATACAGGAGGGAGATGCAGGGAACAGGGATTGGGTGTTCTGCAAAGAGAGTTGGAAGTAAATAATTTTGCAGTAACTGTTATGCTGATGTTGTGGCTGGTCAAGCAAATGTTTGTGCTTATTTCTGTATGATATAATTGTTCATATATCTATTAAAATACTGATATTCTGGTCTATAACTCCTCCCCGAACTTCCCTCTGCCCTGTATCTTGGTCTCTCATTGGCTGTAGGTCATCGCCGATGTAGTTTTCAGTCAGAAATCATTGCACACTGCGTGATTGTGAATCGCCGACAGCTCCAGATATTTAGCATACCAAATATTTTGCGGGCATCGGCGATTGAAAAATTGGGCTAATATCGTGCCGTGTGAACTTGGCATTAGGCAGCATGCCCAAAATGTTTGTTTTTATTATTAAAACAACTTTGATTCATGTTAGCAGGTCCTCAACCCAAGCACAGGCACTACACTTTACCACAATGGTAACCCCCCAAAACACTTACATACCAGAAACGGTTTTTATATACAAACATAAAAGAGCATTAAACATTAACAAGTCTCCCAAGTTTATGATCTTAATAAAAAATGCCTGAAATAACATTTTATTTCAACATTTACTCTCCTTATCCAGCCCTGTGCAAAGCATGATGGGAAGGGGAAATCCACTTCCTAGTTACACAAGTAAAATCATTTATGTACTCTCAACTCAAATGAATTAAGTAAAGTGGTTGTAAAGAATTGTTGGATTAACTTCATTTACTTAAGTAAACTGAACAAGCATAAAATGTTATTTTTGGCCTACTTAAAGGGGTCATATGATGCTGCTAAAAAGAACATTATTTTGTGTATTTGGTGTAATGAAATGTTTATGCGTGTTAAAGTAAAAAAAAAAACATTATTTTCCACATACTGTACATTATTGTTTCTCCTCTATGCCCTGCCTTTTTGAAACGCGTCGATTTTTACAAAGCTCATCGATCTGAACCTAAATGGAGCATGAGAACAGAACAGACCGGGCGGGCATACAAATGTAATGCCAGGTTCACACACTCCATCTGTGGTGCGTATTTTGTCTGCGTGGCGGCGTTATGCAAGTCTTTCCAGATCGTGACGTAGGTATGTGGGGGCGTGTTAGAACGAGCCGTTTTAGGTAGGCGTGGTTAACCCTTAACTTTTATAAAGAATATCTCTTTGGTTTTGAGACTTTAGTGTTTGCAACTTTACAGATCTTCTTTATGCACCAAGAGCTTGTAAGACTCCAAAGAGAAAGGAAAAATTTAAATCGCATCATATGACCCCTTTAATTGAAACATTTCAAACTTTCAAAATGAAAATATTGAGTTGAACCAAAACGCAACTGTTTCAAGTCATTTTGACAGATTGCAATTGTTTAAATGGGAAACCTAACATAATGGTGTTTAATGAGAATTATTTTTTTTTGTTGGAGAATAATTTTTTTTTAATGTATTTGTTTCATAAACATCTACAAGCACTTAAGTAAACCAATACACTTCAAAACACAGCCTCATCACTGAAACTATCATGTAAAGTAGCCGTGTTGACAAGTTTTGGGTGTGTAAGGGCAACACATCTTCAAAGTCCCATAGATTGCAATATTGCTTACTTTGTAGCAGAAATAAACTGCTGCAAAAATTGTTAGGTCCCATTCAAATTGTAACTGCATTAATTATTTCAAATGTGGTGGAGTAAAGAGTACAAATACTTATTCGAATATGCAGTCAAGTAGAGAGTAAAAGTTGTTCATGTCTTTGATTCTCAGTAAAAGTACAAATGTTAAGGGCTGCATGATGAATCGAAATGAAATCGAAATCACGATTAGACAGACGCTGCGATTGTCATGCATATCTTTCAGTGAAGCATGGTTCTGTGATCAGTAGTAAATCTCCATCCGAAGGCCAGAGGGTGCTCTCGCAGGGAAACTCCAAATACACCCAGCAGAAGAAACCCAGGAAATACTCCAAAGAGAAAGGAAAAATTGAAATCGCATCATATGACCCCTTTAATTGAAACATTTCAAACTTTCAAAATGAAAATATTGAGTTGAACCAAAACGCAACTGTTTCAAGTCATTTTGACACATTGCAATTGTTTAAATGGGAAACCTAACATAATGGTGTTTAATGAGAATAATTTTTTTTGTTGGAGAATTTTTTTTTTTTTTATGTATTTGTTTCATAAACATCTACAAGCACTTAAGTAAACCAATACACTTCAAAACACAGCCTCATCACTGAAACTATCATGTAAAGTAGCCGTGTTGACAAGTTTTGGGTGTGTAAGGGCAACACATCTTCAAAGCCCCATAGATTGCAATATTGCTTACTTTGTAGCAGAAATAAACTGCTGCAAAAATTGTTAGGTCCCATTCAAATTGTAACTGCATTAATTATT